ACTAAGATCGACCTTGTCCTCTGTAGGCACTGGAATGCTGCATATATTTTACCAGTCGGGTGGCCAGTGTTCTTTTCTATGTGGTGGTCTGTTGGGACGGTAGCGTGGCTGAGAGGAACGTTAGGCGGCTGGACAAGCTGGTAAAGAAGGCCGGTTCTTTGCTTGGCAGGAGTTTGGACTCACTGAGGACTGTGGTTGAGAGACACATACACAGCACAGTGCAGTCCATCCCTAACGCCAGCCACCGTCTTCACAGCATTCTAACTGGACAGAGGAGCAGCTACAGTGAGCGGTTCATCTTACTGTGCTGCAGGACTGAACAGTACAGGAATCCTTTATCCCCACAGCCATCAGCCACTTTAACACCTTGGTCAATAGCAGCGACTCATTGTCTGATCTGTTGGTTGCTACATACCAGGACAATAGACTGTATAAAAGATGGACGTAGCTACCGTGAGGTCACCCGTTGGAAAATGAAGCCAGGGTTTTGCTACTTCCTGGTTGACATCTTGGATTTTTGGAGCCAGTGACGCAAAAATCGTTGGAGGGGGGCGGAGCCATAGGAGCAGCGATTGGTCAGACGGATTGAGAGGCAGGCCCTCTCTGCCCGCCCACATTTACCGCCTTCTGCTCGCTTCATCTGCAGCCACGCCCCTTGCCCCACAAAATGTTGACGATTTTTTAAAAAATTCAGTATTGATTTATTTTCAGATTGGCCACCTGAGCTCTGGATTCGACTATGAAAACTAATAAGAAAAAAATCCTGAGCTGTAGGAATGCAGTACTTGGTGATCTATGATCACTTCTGTTCCAATTCAAGTCTATGGGAGCAAGGGCTTTTTGGAGCCAGCAGCGAGCGGATGTAGTGATATTGCAGGTTTTGGACACTTCCGGGTTGGCTTCATTTTTCAGGGCCAGTTGCTACGTCCATCTTTCATACAGTCTATGACCAGGACCCATGCACCACACCCCTACTACATACACATGATTAATTATTTACTTACTTTGTAAGTATGATAAGCATAAATTTGCACATTATTGTAAATACGAACAATTTCTTGCACATTTCTGTAAATACCAGTATTATAGGCACCTTATTGCTGTTTCTTCTACCAGCACACTTTGCACGACAATTGCATGCTCTCTTGTGCATGGTTTCTTATCTATCTGTATGTAACATGTGTGAGGGGGTGTCTTTTTAAGCCTNAGCACATGTTTCACATATGCCCTATTATGTGTAATAACATTATCCACATGATTCAAATAGCTTCTCTGGGGAAAAATATTTAATGTTACAGTGCAGTGTAGCTTTGTGGACTGTTTTGTTTGAATTCACTACTCAGTACAGAATGTGAAAAGGAGTGTGGTGGGTTTTGATTTCTCTGTGAATCAATCCTCATTATTAATAATTTAAAAGTTCAACACTTATTTAAAAGAGTTGAGTTTTGAGCCAGGACACCTCTGAAGCACCATGCGTAGTGGCAGGGTTTTTAGTAAAGAGAAGAAATGTGATGCTGCATTTGTGTTCAGGGAGTGTCCCGACCTTTGGGTCCTTTAAACCTCTTAAGGCATCACTCTCCTTCATTCCTTTAAAATAGCCTCTTTGCAGACTCAGTGGTCTGCAGCTTTGCTCTGCTGTTTCTTTCTCAGTTCTTTTTTCTCCTTTCCCCACAGTAGCGTCCTTATCGCCGCCCTTCACTGCTGCAGCTGCACTGTTTCTGCTGCAGTGTGCAAGGACGAGTCCATGATGGGACAAAACGCAACTGAAACATTTATTCTAGCTTTTCAACCTAACCTCAAAAACTCTCACATTCTTCTGAGTTTACCTGCTCTCAGGACACACTTTTTCTTGCTTTGTGAAATAAGATATTATCAGACGATCTACAGCTGCATTGTGTGTTTTATTTTAACAGAGTGACAGTTTCTTCTGCACACTATAACTGTGTGTCTTGGGTTGGAACAAAATCTTTTTAACTGAACAAGTACAAAATCTCCACTGTTCATATTTGTTACCTTCGCCAAGGAGGTTATGTTTTAGCATTTATCTGTTTGTTTGTTTGTTTGTTTGTTTGCTAGCAAGATAACTCAAAAAGATATGAACGGATTCTCATGACATTTTGAAGAAATGTTGATAATGGCACAATGAACAGATGATAAAATTTTGGTAATGTTCTGGTTTACCATCTGGTTATTCTCTCATAAAACATTAAATGCTGTTAAGTATCACAGTAGCGCAGAATGTTGTCGTTGCGCCGTTTGTCCACTAGATGGAGCTCTGACTCAATTCAGTCCTTCAGTCCTCACCGCTGTCTTCTCAGTAGAGCAGGAGGAAGCTACAGCCAGGCAGCATCACAGGAGTGGGCTGAGCGGAGCTACTGATACGTTCAGAACGACGTTGTGACATTAACAATGACTCAGCATGTCTCCTGTTTCACTTTAACTCTCTTTGCCATGAGTCATGATGAGGGACGCATGCTTTTCATTTATGTTGCGAAAGTTTTGCTAACCTAGCTTAATTTACTTCCTGTCTGTTTGTGTTAGTAATAATGTCGCTGCAGCTATGCCAACCTAGCATAATGTTAGCTAACAGCTTAAAAGCCAGTAAGTAACTGCAGAAATAAGCGTACAAAATATTTGAGAGTACAGAACAACTGTTCATCACTCCATCGGCTTGTTATTAATGATATCAATATCCTACATCGATTTGTTTTATTCTATTTGACGTTTATGTGGAATTATTGTATAGTTAGTGCATCAAGTCTNTCTCTGTGCTCACATACACTGTATTACAATACAGACGATGTAGTACACTCACTCACTGAACAGAGCAGGCCCAGGTTTGTCTGGGGTGAGAAAGCTACAGCAAGTAGCTAAGACTTGTTCGAAAAGTCTCTAGATTTGTCACTAGAGTTTTCCCCTCCAACAACCCTCACTAAATGGCTTTAAAAAGTATGTAACTCTGGAGACAAAGTCAATCAGCGCTATGTGATGACATATGGTGTAAACTGCACTATACAAATAAAATTGAATTGAATTGAACTGAATAATTGGGCAACAGCAGCACATAGCGGAAAGAGTGTAGCAGAGATGCAGCTAA